ACAACACCTCACAAACAACTAAACAAGACAGACAACACCTCACAAACAACTAAACAAGACAGACAACACCTCACAAACAACTAAACAAGACAGACAACACCTCACAAACAACTAAACAAGACAGACAACACCTCACAAACAACTATACAAGACAGAAAACACCTCACAAACAACTAAACAAGACAGACAACACCTCACAAACAACTAAACAAGTCAGACAACACCTCACAAACAACTAAACAAGACAGAAAACACCTCACAAACAACTAAACAAGACAGACAACACCTCACAAACAACTAAACAAGACAGACAACACCTCACAAACAACTAAACAAGACAGAAAACACCTCACAAACAACTAAACAAGACAGACAACACCTCACAAACAACTAAACAAGACAGACAACACCTCACAAACAACTAAACAAGACAGACAACACCTCACAAACAACTAAACAAGACAGACAACACCTCACAAACAACTAAACAAGACAGACAACACCTCACAAAGAAATAAACAAGACAGACAACACCTCACAAACAACTAAACAAGACAGACAACACCTCACAAACAACTAAACAAGTCAGACAACACCTCAAAAACAACTAAACAAGTCAGACAACACCTCACAAACAACTCACAAACAACTAAACAAGACAGACACCTCACAAACAACTAAACAAGACAGACAACACCTCACAAACAACTAAACAACTCAGACAACACCTCACAAACAACTAAACAACTCAGACAACACCTCACAAACAACTAAACAAGACAGACAACACCTCACAAACAACTAAACAAGACAGACAACACCTCACAAACAACTAAACAAGACAGACAACACCTCACAAACAACTAAACAAGTCAGACAACACCTCACAAACAACTAAACAAGTCAGACAACACCTCACAAACAACTCACAAACAACTAAACAAGACAGACACCTCACAAACAACTAAACAAGACAGACAACACCTCACAAACAACTAAACAACTCAGACAACACCTCACAAACAACTAAACAACTCAGACAACACCTCACAAACAACTAAACAAGACAGACAACACCTCACAAACAACTAAACAACTCAGACAACACCTCACAAACAACTAAACAAGACAGACAACACCTCACAAACAACTAAACAAGACAGACAACACCTCACAAACAACTAAACAACTCAGACAACACCTCACAAACAACTAAACAAGTCAGACAACACCTCACAAACAACTAGCATACACGTGAACACAGAACAGGAACACTCTCTGCCGGAATAACAACCTTGGTTCTGAGTCAGGTGTATCGTGACCACCAGACTCACTGCTACGAGAAAGAACCAAACGGTAACTCGGGCGCTCACAATGCCATTAAAACAATAAAAACAATTAAAAGATAAATGATATTAAGAAAAACACTTCTCACCAAAACAACGGGAAGAGAAAAAAAAAAAGATAATTGAAATTATCCTTTTTGAATATTCCACAATATATATATATATATATATATATATATATATATATATATATATATATATATATATATATATATTGTGAATTAATCTCTGATGTCCTTGACGTAGTTTCTCTCGTCACTAGTGAACTACGTCGGGTAGGTGATGGTCGTGCAGGAAGGGGCGGTGGTATAGATTGTTTCTGAACGTGAGTTACCCTTATCGGGGAAACGTTTCGCCCATAAGGGGCCTAAAATGCCGTTTATGCTTCTGAGATCGACCTTGTTGTTGATGGTTTATAGGGCCACTGGCGCCGTATCGAGTGTTGTTGTTGGTGGTTTATAGGGCAACTGGCTGCTGGCGCCGTATCGAGCCTTTGTGAGATAGGCGATCACCTATATGTGATTGCAGGGGTCGATTCACAGCTCCTGGACCCGCCTCTTCGCTGGTTGGATATAGATCCACTCTCTCCCTGCTCCAAGAGTTGCGTACTGCCGTATCATGTACGCTGCTGGCGGAACTGCGCTGTTGTGGGTGGTAATCCCGGGAAAAAGTTGGAGATTTTCGACGCTTTCTCCCGGAGTGACACTGTCGTAGCTAGGTTCAGCTGCCTAGCTATTCTGTGGTAGCCAGGTACAGCTGCCTAGCTATTCTGTGGTAGCCAGGTTCAGCTGCCTAGCTATTCTGTGCTAGCCAGGTACAGCTGCCTAGCTATTTTGTGCTAGCCAGGTACAGCTGCCTAGCTATTCTGTGGTAGCCAGGTACAGCTGCCTAGCTATTCTGTGGTAGCCAGGTACAGCTGCCTAGCTATTCTGTGGTAGCCAGGTTCAGCTGCCTAGCTATTCTGTGGTAGCCAGGTTCAGCTGCCTAGCTATTCTGTGGTAGCCAGGTTCAGCTGCCTAGCTATTTTGTGGTAGCCAGGTACAGCTGCCTAGCTATTCTGTGGTAGCCAGGTTCAGCTGCCTAGCTATTCTGTGGTAGCCAGGTTCAGCTGCCTAGCTATTCTGTGGTAGCCAGGTACAGCTGCCTAGCTATTCTGTGGTAGCCAGGTTCAGCTGCCTAGCTATTTTGTGGTAGCCAGGTACAGCTGCCTAGCTATTTTGTGCTAGCCAGGTTCAGCTGCCTAGCTATTTTGTGGTAGCCAGGTACAGCTGCCTAGCTATTTTGTGGTAGCCAGGTACAGCTGCCTAGCTATTTTGTGCTAGCCAGGTTCAGCTGCCTAGCTATTTTGTGCTAGCCAGGTTCAGCTGCCTAGCTATTTTGTGCTAGCCAGGTTCAGCTGCCTAGCTATTTTGTGCTAGCCAGGTTCAGCTGCCTAGCTATTTTGTGCTAGCCAGGTACAGCTGCCTAGCTATTTTGTGCTAGCCAGGTACAGTTTTCTAGGTGTTCGAAAAACTACTTAAAGGCTGACCACCTTGCAGCAACTTCTTGAAGGTGTCAGCATAGATGTTAGCATAGGGGTGTCAGCATAGGTGCTGTCAGCGTAGGTGTCAGCATAGGTGATGTCAGCATAGGCGTCAGCATAGGTGGTGTTAACATAGGTGGTATCAACATTGATGTGTCAGCATAGGTATCATCATAGGTGGTGTCAGCATAGGAAGTGTCAGCATAGGTGATGTCAGCATAGGTGGTGTCAACATAGAGGTGTCAGCATAGGTGGTGTCAGCATAGATGGTGTCAGCAGAGGAGGTATCAAGGATCAGAACCTGAATCACCATGCCAAGAGCTTTCACTCCAGGGAATTAGAGCTGCCCTCCCCTTGCTCGGATCAAATCTGACAGCCTACCATTGTCCCAACTGCTGGATGGCCCTTACGGATTTAGCGCTCAGGCTTAAATATAAGATAGGATAGGATAGGGAGATTAGAAACAGCCGCCTCTTCTCTTCTGTTTTTCTCTTAGTTGTGACTTGTCAATGGTCCAGGAGGGACCATTGAAAAGTCACAACGTTTCTCCCCCTCCCTCCCTCTCTCTCTCATTATTTCCCACTCAGCTTTATCGTGCATGAAGAAAAGCTTTCATTGTCTCAACGTTTCGCGCTGTTAGAGCTTTATTAAGTCATGACTATATAAAGGTTTACACGGGTTGTAACTTTGTCCGTACAAGGCAACAGAAGCAGTAGAGATGTAAAGACGATGTAATCAGTTCATCACCCCTGAAGACAGTTTTGAGGTGGTCAGTCCCTCAGCCTGGAGAAGAGTTCACCTCCATGGAGATGAACTCTTATCAAGGCTGAGGGACTGACCACCTACACTACTACACCTGCTGCCTCTGTATTTGACTGAAGAACTCTACTGTGTAGGTGAAACATTTCAACAATAAAGATACCCGACTGTTGCACATGTGTTTTAATCTTCAACTTCTCGGTATTATTTACCATTTGCAACAAGAACTACTGACTCGCTGAAAGGATAATGGTTACTGACTCCATGACTCAAGAAATCGTAATGACACGATTGTAAACAAACCATACCCCCGGCCGGGATTGAACCCGCGGTCATAGAGTCTCAAAACTCCAGACCGTCGCGTTAGCCACTAGACCAGCTAGCCACAATAAGATTCATCCAACTAGGTATATTTCTACACCATAGGAAAGTTAGCACAGGCACCTCTGTGACCACAAATGGCTAGCTGGTCTAGTGGCTAACGCGACGGGCTGGAGTTTTGAGACTCTATGACCGCGGGTTCAATCCCGGCCGGGGGTATGGTTTATTTGCAATCGTGTCATTACGATTTCTTGAGTCATGTTGACGGCAGTGAAGGGACTTGAGCTAGAGTTCGTCACGGCCACGCTAGCTGGAGATTCGTCTGTAAAAACTTGCATTTGTGGTCACAGAGGTGCCTGTGCTAACCTTCCTATGGTGTAGAAATATACCTAGTTGGATGAATCTTATTGTGGCTAGCTGGTCTAGTGGCTAACGCGACGGGCTGGAGTTTTGAGACTCTATGACCGCGGGTTCAATCCCGGCCGGGGGTATGGTTACTGACTCCACTTGTACGAGAGTGCAAGAGAATTTTTGCAGGTGACCATCAGGATCCTAAAGTCAAAAAAAAAAACAGCTTTCACCTGAGACTTAAAACCATGAGCAGACTCTTGACTCTTGAGAGGTACCGGTAACTTTTTGTACACTCTGGTAGAGCGGTGATTGTTGATTTTAGTTACTAGAAGAAAGGTGATTGTTGTCTTAATTTACTAGGTGAGTCAGGAGTATGAGTCAGTTGAGTGAATGTTATCTTCGTGAAAAGATGACTCAGAAAGAGCTCTTAATTCGGGGAATTGGATCTTTCCACCCTTTGGCCAACCCTTAGGCTCTGCGTGACTTACCTATTTAGCGCTTCTCTGTATGATAATCCAGTATAGGTCAAGTGAAGGTTCTTCAGGTATTTTCCTCTTGTCTTAATAGGGAAAGGTTACACAGGGGGAAAAGTTATCTCCAAACTCTGGGAAATTATTAACAATCTGCTGAACACGTGACGGGGTGACGTCACAGTTGTGTCAAGCTATAAAACCCGCAATGCTGGCGGGAGACTCACTGGCTCCCCGACCGCCGTACGGGCAACAGTGTCTCAGGAGAAAGAGAGAGAGGTTTATTTTGCGAAGTGTGGTTTGAGTGGACGTAATGTTGCTGGCTGCGCACTCCGTTTTGTTGGTGGTGGTTTTGGGCGCGTGGGTGGTGGAGGCGTTCCCAGGCGGCGCACCCATAGAGGCGTGTATTCTTGAGAATCCAAACCGTCCCAACCACCCAGGGACCAGCCCACAACCACCCTCCACCTTGAAACACATCTTCACCGCCTCTGATGCTTACTACTCTCCAGGCAGTACTATACAAGGTACATTAGTACCTCCATACCTCTGCTACCTCACTCCATACCTCTGTTACTTTATCCCATACGTCAACCTCACTCCATACCTCTGTTACTTACTCCATACCTCTCTTCACCCACACTCCTATACTCCTACCTCTTTTACTTTATCCCATACCTCACACTCACTCCATACCTCTGTTACCTTACCCATACCTCTCTACCTCACTCCACACCTCCCCTGCCTTACTCCATACCTCTGTTACTTTCATCTCCATACCTCTGCTACCCACTACTCCATACCTCTCTACCTCACTCCATACCTCTGTTACTCTATACTCCCATACCTTACTCATACCTTCCCTCCATTCCTCCCTGTACCTTACTCCATACACCTCGTCCTTTATCCATACCTCAGCTACCTTACTCCATACCTCGTTACCTTACTCCATACCTCCCCTACCTTACCCATACCTCTGCTACTTACTCCACACCTCTGCTACCTCATCTCCATACCTCTCCTGACCTTACTCCATACCACTTCTCCTACCATTCCATACTCTCCTACCTTACTTCAACTCTACTACCTACTCCATTCACTCCTACCTACTCATACTTCTACTTACTCCATACCTCTTCACTTACTCCATACCTCCCCTACCTTACTCCATACCTCTGCTACCTTTAATATACCCTCCACCTACCCATACTCTCCTACCTCATTCCATACCTATCCTACCTTACTCCATACCTCTCCTATACCTATCCATATCCCTACTTATCCAACCTTCCCTCCATACCTCTCCTACCTTACTCCATACCTCCCTACCTTACTCCATACCTCCCCTACCTTACTCCATACCTCCCCTACCTTACTCCATACCTCTCCTACCTTACTCCATACCTCTCCCTACCTTACTCCATACCTCACCTACCTTACCTCCCATACCTCCCCTACTTACTCCATACCTCTCCTACCTTACTCCATACCTCTGCCGTACTTCTTACCCCTCCTCCTACCTTACTCCATACCTCTCCTACCTTACTCCATACTCTCCTACTTACTCCATACCTCCCTACCTTACTCCATACCTCTCCTACCTTACTCCATACCTCTCCTACCTTACTCCATACCTCCCCTACTTTACTCCATACCTCTGCTACCTTACTCCATACCTCTCCTACTTTACTCCATACCTCTCCTACCTTACTCCATACCTCCCCTACCTTACTCCATACCTCTCCTACCTTACTCATACCTCCCTACTTTACTCCATACCTCTCCTACCTTACTCCATACCTCCCCTACTTTACTCCATACCTCCCCTACCTTACTCAACCTCTCCTACCTTACTCCATACCTCTCTACTACTCTACTCCATACCTCCTCCTACCTTACTCCATACCTCTCCTACCTTACTCCATACCTCCCCTACCTTACTCCATACCTCCCCTACCTTACTCCATACCTCTCCTACCTTACTCCATACCTCTCCTACCTTACTCCATACCTCTCCTACCTTACTCCATACCTCCCCTACCTTACTCCATACCTCCCCTTACTTTACTCCATACCTCGCCTACCTTACTCCATACCTCCCCTACCTTACTCCATACCTCCCTTGCCTTACTCCATACCTCCCCTACCTTACTCCATACCTCTCCCTACCTTACTCCATACCTCCCTACCTTACTCCATACCTCCCCTACCTTACTCCATACTCCCTACCTTACTCATACCTCCCTGCCTACTCCATACCTCCCTACCTTACTCCATACCTCTCCTACCTTACTCCATACCTCTCCTACCTTACTCCATACCTCCCCTACTTACTCCATACTACCTTCCCCTACCTTACTCCATACCTCCCCTACCTTACTCATACCCCTCTACTTACTACCATACCTCCCCTACCTTACTCCATACCTCCCCTACTTACTCCATACCTCCCCTACCTTACTCCATACCTCCCTACCTTTACTCCATACCTCTCCTACCTTACTCCATACCTCCCCTGCCTTACTCCATACCTCCCCTACTTACTCCATACCTCCCCTACCTTACTCCATACCTCCCCTGCTTACTCCATACTTCTACTTACCATACCTCCCCTGCCTTACTCCATACCTCCCCTACCTTACTCCATACCTCCCCTGCCTTACCCATACTCCCCTGCTTACTCCATACCTTCCCTACTTACTCCATACTCTCCCTACCTTACTCCATACCTCCTCCTGCCTTACTCCATACCTCCCCTACCTTACTCCATACCTCCCCTACCTTACTCCATACCTCCCCTGCCTTACTCCATACCTCCCCTACCTACTCCATACCCCTGCTTACTCCATACCTCCCCTACCTTACCATACCCTACTTACCCATACCTCCCCTACCTTACTCCATACCTCCCCTGCCTTACTCCATACCCTCCCCTACCTTACTCCATACCTCTCCTACCTTACTCCATACCTCCCCTACCTTACTCATACCTCCCTACCTTACTCCATACCTCCCCTAGCCTTACTCCATACCTTTCTCCATCATCACTTTCTCCATGACTGATCCTGGAGAGAAAATATTACAATATCTCGACCCTTTTAATCGCTGTAAACTTTAATAGCTTAGCGTTCATGCCGAATTTATAATAATAATGTCATGAACTGTTTGCCTACATGTGTTTCCTGATTTACCTGAAGAGTTCCGGGGTCAACGCCCCCGCGCCGGTCTGAGTACCGCCCTACTGGTGATCATAGCCTGATCAACCAGCTGTTCTGCTGCTGCACGCAAACCAACATACGAGCCACAGCCCGTCCTATCCGGAACTGACTTAGGTCTTGTCCATGACTTGAAGACTGCCAGGGTCTGTTGGTAATCCCCTTATGTGTGCTGAGGCTTAAACAGTCTCGGCCCCTGACACTTATGTAGGTCCTTAACCGTGCTATTACACCCCTGCTTTTCATTGGGGATTAGCATCGTCTGCCAAGTCTTTGCTCTCGTAGTGGTGATTTCGTGTGCAAGTTCGTACTATCCTCTAGGATTGTCCAGTGTAATAATCATGTATCTCTTCCCTCCGTGTCCAGGAACATTTAGAACCTCAAGCGCTCCCAGAATAGGTTTTTATCTCCGTTATGCGGCCGTGAAAGTTTCGTACATTTCTAGGTCAGCAATTTTCAGGTGTAAAATCATGTGTTGTTTGGACTACTGTCCGTTATTTTTGTCCTTGTTATTTTTTTTTTGTTATTACTGTATATATAGGAAGAAGTTCCTCTTCTCTCTCTGTCTGGTCAGGCTTAGGCTGGCAGGACGCCTGAAACAGTCTCCTTGTGTCGGAAACCAAAGCATTGATGACACAGACCTGAGACTGCGTCATTTTGTTCTTGATTCGCTGGTACTTTCCCGGGCCGGGTCTTTTCCAGATGGTGACCCGGCCTTGGCTCCCTCTCTTGGGAGTGTCTCAGACCTATGTCCATTACACCACAATCATGTCTGTGGTTGCCTCTCTTCCCGTCGTTTACTGTTATTCTTTATTTTCTATTGGTTACAGTGTGTGTGTGTGTGTGTGTGTGTGTGTGTGTGTGTGTGTGTGTGTGTGTGTGTACTCACCTACTTGTACTCACCTAATTGTGGTTGCAGGGTCAATTCACAGCTCCTCTGTGTGTTGTGTGTGTTATATATATATATATATATATATATATATATATATATATATATATATATATATATATATATATATATATATATATATTTGGGGTGTGGTGTGTGTGTGTGTGTGTTACCAGGCCACACGGTGGTACCAGGTCACACAGTTGTACCAGGTCACACGGTGGTACCAGGTCACACAGTTGTACCAGGTCACACGATGGTACCAGGTCACACAGTTGTACCAGGCCACACGGTGGTACCAGGTCACACAGTTGTACCAGGCCACACGGTGGTACCAGGTCACACAGTTCTACCAGGTCACACGGTGGTACCAGGTCCACGTTGTACGGTCACACGATGGTACCAGTCACACAGTGTTCAGCCACACGGTGGTACCAGGTCACACAGTTGTATCAGGTCACACGGTGGTACGGTCACACAGTTGTATCAGTCACACGATGGTACAGTCACACAGTGTATCACACACGGTGGTACCAGGTCACACAGTTGTATCAGGCCACACGGTGGTACCAGGTCACACAGTTGTATCAGGTCACACGATGGTACCAGGTCACACAGTTGTATCAGGCCACACGGTGGTACCAGGTCACACAGTTGCACCAGGTCACACGGTGGTACCAGATCACAGTTGTGCCAGGTCAGAGAGTTGTACAAGGCCACGCTGGTGTCCGGTCATTGACTCTGTACCAGTCGTCTTCTCACTGGAGGTTCCACAAACAATGTCGTCCTGTCTTAATAGTTTAGAGTTTACCCAACAAACGTGTTCTTGAGTTTATAGGTCAACACACACACACACACACACACACACACACACACACACACACACACACACACACACACACACACACACACACACACACACACGCACACACAAATAAAACTAAACGACGGCTTTCACTGTTGAAAATAATGTGACTGAAAACAGTGAAATAGAACAGTGGATCAGGTGTAAATTATAAGCAGAATTTCCGATATTTTAAGGAGCAACTGAGAAAGTGAAAGGTCTTGGAGATTACAATCAATACCTGGCCATCACCAACTCGCATGAACACAATGGACAAGAACTATACGCAGCAGTAACGTGTTCAATAATTGTGTGTCGTGAATTGTTCCAGTCACGGTAACGTGACGTTCTGGATGAAGACTTGTAAAAAACAATTACAGGTTATATTAGACCGGAACTTGAGTTTACAGTTGTAATGTGGAATTTTTATATAAAATAAGGGGATTTAGAAGGCATTAAAACCTTCTAAGGTAGCGTTAGTAAATAATAAGGGGTTTTATAAGGTACTGAACCCTTCTAAGGTAGCGTTAGTAAACAATAAGGGGATTTAGAAGGCACTAAAACCTTCTGAAGTAGTGT